CCCCCCCCCCCCCCCCCCCTTCCAAAAATTCTGGATCCGCCCCTGATCGCGAAAGAATACATTCTATTGTCCTGTTGTATATGATAATAAAACTAGGTTTCAAACTTCCTCGTCTGACTTGTTTTTAATCAGAGTGGCGCAGGGACGACACTTGAACCACTCCGCGTACATGTACATAGCATGTGCCGTACAAATGCATCTCCCCCAAGTTGGTTCAAGTCTATGGTAGTGTAAGCAAAGAATGAATATCCGTTAACAACTGCCTTTATGTCTCCTCCATCCCAGTGTACCACAAACTTTCATAGTCACATTCACAACAAGAAAGAAGGCAAAAACGAATATTTGTTGCTCGAGATTTGGCCAAACAAGGCCGCTTTTATTTTTAAAGCCCACTATCCTAATCTTTTTGAGCAGTGTGTCAGTATTAAATGATATGCCTAAGGGATAAAAATATACATCAAATATTCAATATGACTCATCATCCTAAAATATGACGCGATGAGTCAGCAAAGTTCTCATTTACAAACAATTTTGCACAAATTAATGGCTGGCGGGACGGTAAAACACCTGTTATTCTATGTTGTTGGGAGGTTACACTATTTGTGGATACAGAAAAAAGTAAACATCTTAACCTTGACACAAATACACCGTTAGTTTTTTATATGAAATTGGAGTCAGGTAGGAGTCAGGAGGTATATGCGTACACGTAGCTAGCACTAGTACCTCAGTAATTTTGTAGAGAAAAGCTACACGCAGACCCATACTTAGCTTCTGGGGGTATTCTTGTAATATTGCAGTGATTTCGAAGAAATTTGAAATCCACTTTTACAAAAAACAAAAGCAAATGATGATGCACAGAATGGTTAATTGTCAATTTCGATTCAATTTTACACAGTGTTCAACAGCAAATTCACCACATAGGTTACACGGACATTAGGAATATGTCAATAGGGCTACAAGAGTTCAAATTCATATCCTCTAAACCTCAAAATGTGAACAAGGTCGCATTAAGATGCCCAATATAAGATTTCCTATTCAAGTTCAAGTAAGTTAGTAATTATGGATGCATCTCTGGCAGTTTTGGAGTTATTAGGGCTAGAAAATGAACAAATTGCATTTCGTTGTCAAAAGTAGGCCGAAGGTCAATTTCAAGGTAACAGAAAGATTGCCATTACATCATTTTTACTCAAGTCCAAACGTTCTATGAGTGTATTTCTGCCAGTTTTGTAGATACATGTATAATACATGTAAAGTACTGTTCAAGGCGGAGAGTAGGTCAATGGTGAAATTCAAGGTCACATAAATATTCCCAATATTTGACTTGTATTTACCGTTTTTATTCCGTTGTGACAGTAATGATATTACTTTAGGTACCGGGCGTAGTCCGTTCCCAGTTACTATATAAGGAGACATTTGCCCCGTATACTAACCCCAATACTCCAACTAACCATAACCATAACCACTACTAATCACATGGAGCCTGGGGACTATCATTGCTGTCACACTGGGTCACCTAGTGTCAAATATCACATGTCAAATTCCGGCACCCAAACACGAGGTATGTTGGACATCGTAAACATCTGTGTATCATGTAAAAGGTCAACTGATTCACCTAGTGTGTTGAACAGAGTCCTGCCTTGTAGTTGGTAGGGTATACGTAGGACTCGCAAGTACCCGTCGAATAAACATTTAAGATGCCAAGTATCTCAGGCTTTTTCCATGTACATGTCTCTGTTTAAATCAACCGAAGTGCGAATCTAAGCTTAAGGGACCCAAGGGTATTTTCGTTAACAGTGAAAGACACTTTTTATTTCCTGAGATGCGGAACAGGTTCATATTATTTAGCGTGGTTCGTGCAGCACCCTTGACTCATGAACGCGTCATTTTCTTCTTCATCCTTCTTGAAACGAAGTCATTATTCCCTGCAATTCAAGATTTTCAGTATTTTGACTCGCATTACCAGTAGTGAGTTTTGAATAAGGTTGTATGTACATATCTTGTGAAATTGACGATTTTAAATTTCCGTGAACTGTGATCACGACCCCTCCAGCGCGACCCTCTCATGCAGTAATCTTATCACGTCTTAAACACCACCGTAGCGTCTGTCACACGGCCCACAACCTTGACACTGGACCCCTAGACGGCATATCGGGCGACTTAAGCTAAAGGAATTACATAAGAGGCACATAATTCGTTTCAACGCGTCACTTAGAGAGAGCGTCTGATCACCCTTAAGCACCATGGATATGTTCGCAGAGAAACCCTGGGGTAAGCGCCCTTACTGGGGGATTGGGTTCAACTACGACCATCAGTGGGTGCTGACAGATAAACAGAGGGAACTGCAGGCCAAGCTGATGGAGCTGTGCCGAACGACGATGCGACCAAATGCCGTAAGTGACTTTTACATTACAACACAGTTTAAATTGTATCTGTAATACGTTTGCCGTTGTACAAGTAATAAAATGCGTTAAATTTAAACCAGTAGCACTGTAAATGCACAAAACGATTCAGTGAAATTTTTAACTTTAAAAAGCGCCCAGACTACAGTCAATAGCCCGAGAGTTCTAGACATAGCATCACGCAAAGTAATACTGGATGCACAAATGACACGACGTCACGATCTTATGTCAAAGGGGGCACGGAAAGTAGTGCGCCATTTAAAACACTGCTGAATATTAAATTTCACTTTTTTTTTATTTTGATGCCATATATTCATAATAGCTGCCCCTTCTAGGCTCAAATCCAGAGCCAGATTGACAACGCGATACCTAAAATGGACCAGTGCACTATCATTTAAAAGTTGGTCCACTTTTCACGCGTGTATGTTTTTATTTATTTATTTATTTATTTATTGATATTCCTCTCTTCTTTTTCATGCTTTTTTCTGTCAGACTTTCTCTTTTTTTTCTATATTTCTTTTTAAAGAGCGAGTGCATTTTAATGCTATTACTGCCTGTAACAGGAATCAGGCCGATAAGGGCCTAATTTGTATCTTTAAAACTTCGCTTTACCATTTAGGATTCAAAGCAATATCGTGTCTGTTTGCACAGTGCATGTGAAATCTTGTTAACAGTACAGATGACTACATCACTAAGCCCGGTAGATACACTCTTTGTACTTGCTAAGCGCTACTGACACACATGACTTCACGAAGTATGCTTACTTACTTTCCTCTTCGTGCCTTGGTCTCATATTCACAAAATATGAGTACTTCAAAATGACATTCAAAAATCTAGCAATGTTTTATTTATTTATTTTATTAATGGCTTAATTGAATTTAATATTTGTAATTGATTAATAAACAGTGTTTTAAATTGTTAAAGATATTCTGTAAAGCGCATCGAGATTTTGATGGAATGCGCCATAAAAATGTAATTTATTATGTATTTTATGAAAACAGGAAGCAAATGTTTTAGTATGTTGGGGGCAGGGTCGTAAACAAATAAATGGCAGATGAAGAAGCCCCTCTCTTTGCCTCCTTGCTTACTGACAGATGTCTGACAAGGCCGAACTAGACGTAGGGGGGGTGGGGGGCAGTTAGGCCTCTTAATTATTGCGGCCTATGTCTGTAAATTGTCTCTCAAATTTATATCATAATACCAATTGATATGGATATTCTCCATTCAACAACACATGTACATAGATTCAAGAAGGTGTAATTCCCCATTCTCATTCCTGAATTTACATCTTATAATCAACCAGGTAAGATATGACGAGACATATGAATTCCCAAGAGAAAACTTGGACGCCATGACGGAGCTGGGGCTGCTGGGATTGATTGTACCGAAGGACCTCGGCGGGCTGGGCGAGAACCACGTGTGTGCCGCCATGGTGGTGGAGACTATTGCCCGTTATGGGTGTCCCAGCACTGCTATGGTTTACTGTAAGTTACGCCATCTATAGGCCGGACGTTCTGTTAGGTGAAATAAATTGGAAAACATTGGCTCAGTACTAAAATGTATACCTAAAGAATTTTGTTTTCATATCTGCGAGAAAGCAAAAAAATTGAAAATAAAAATTAAGCAACGAGACCTTAATGTCCAATATCTGTTATTAGAAATTATTATTGTTCTCCACAGTGATCAATTTTTGAAGATTTAAAAGGGAATTAAAAAAAAATCAATTAAAATTGTAGACTTGTTAGATCCTTGTTTAGGCCATTTTCTTCATTTATGACGTCATTCTAGGTATGCACGTGGGCGCAGTGAGTGGTCTTCTTCTTCGTTACCATAACAACGAACTAATCAAAAGTGTTCTCCGACGTTTGGACAAAGACAAGCTGGTAGGGACTGAGTCTTTTAGTGATCCCGCAACAGGTAAAGAAGATAATTTATTTATTTATTTATTTATTTATTTATACTACACTCGTGAGAAAATCTGTTTCATTTAAGTTTACATAAGCCAAAAGAGTCATAGCTGTACGATTTCCATTCAGTTATAGTTTATCACATTATATTATCTACCCCACCTTTTTACAACTTGCAAACTTGCCCTATACAGCTGATGTGGTATTTTTAAAACACATGGCCAAAACATCAGTAGTACATGAATGGTATCGATATCTCCTAGGTGGCCATTTTTGGTACCCACTGTCCTCTAAGAACCGGTATACCAAGGATGGCAGGTTCCAGATGTTAAAGTACGCCTCCTGGACAACCAGCGCCGGATTTGCAGACTTCTACGTCGTCCAAACCACTAGCCCGGGCTTTGGCGGCGACTATTCCGACCTGTCCGTATTTTTACTGTTCAAGGTTGGTATAGTTCAAATCCCAATATCGATAGTAATATTTGTACAGAATTTGAAGAGGAACCATTTGGATTATCGAAAGCAATGTCATTAGGTTAAGAACACTGTTTTTTATATTTGCTTTCAAAACAGTTTGCTTTGTTTTTTTTATTTTTTTTTATTATATTTTTTTTTGCATAATTCACACGTACGTTAAAGCCATGTTTTGATTGAAGCTAATAAACTGATGAGATACATACATGCTATGATGTAAAATATAAATGCATGTAAAACTCTTCGTGGAATAATTCAGCCGTTGTGCTTACTCATTAAACCAGAGCATTTATCCATTAGATTAAATTTTACTTTCAAAATTACAGGACGAGGTTCGTGCTCATGCAGACGATTGGAAATCCTTAGGTCTCCATGGTAACCAGTCTGGTGTACTTATAACAGAGGGCGTGCTGAGCAAAGAAAGGCAGGTTGGAGAACTCGGTACGTCAGACATTCATCCTTTTTATCCAAATACCTTTCCTCTCATTTGGATGTATAAGAAATAAATTATGTTGAATATTTAAGTCCCGTTAATAGATCTAAATCCCGTTGCTAGATTGATTTATTCTCTGATAATTTAACTCACACTTGAGCATTAGCCATTGTATAGTTAACATGCAGTTTCCCAGGAGCATTTCAATTCATTCCCCATGCTGCTAAACATTGACCAAAACCGTTGCCAAGTTTATAAACTATTTTACGTTCTAAGTTTCTAATGTTTGAGGCACTCTCCTAAAGGCAAAATATGAGATATGGTGGGTTTGATTTACAAATCATCAATTTTAGAACGATTTGGCTAGATAAAGAGTTTATTGGTTAAAGAGCATTGCTTCTTTTTAAATTTAAATTAAAATTTCTGTATAATGCTGTCACGCCTAGTTCATGGCTTCATTTTAGGCATTGGGAAATTTTCAACATATTCTGAGTAAGTACAGCGTGGAGTACAACTTTAAAAAGTCATTTATGGAACATGAACAGCGGTGTTTTAGTATGTCAATTTTAAATTATTTCTTTTTCATGTGTATCGTAGGTGAAGGTGCAGCTATTAACGATGAAGTTGTTGACACGTGGTTCTTGCTACTGACTGCCTCCTGTTGGAACGGTATAGCCTTTGGTTGTATCGATGTTGCTTGTAGACATGCCACGGAGAAGGACCACGCTGACACCGGACTCCGAGTTTGCGACTATCCCACAATCCAGGTACGATGACGTCATCTGCACGTGTTTCTGAATTCACGTGCGTTTACTTGAGTTCTATCTTGAGTGATCCTCCGTAGTACGGCGAATGTGGCAGCTTTAAATCGTATGCTGGCGCTGTTGATTTGATTTTCCATTTTTATGGACAATGCGAAATATCATTCCCCTTGTTGGTCAGTATGTACGATGTCTTCGACCTGTTGGGCTAACACTAGCTATTTGTCACATACATGTATCTTGAATAAGCAAAGTAACACAAGGAGAGTGCAATATTGATTAAATTGTTCTCTTTAACAAGTTATAGGAAACGTTAACACGACTGATTAAATTGATCAACTGTTTATATGTAAGGCGAAATAAATAATTGTAATAGATTGTAACAAAGGAATATAAATCAATAGATAAAGAGACGCTGATTGGATTACGTCTTTGTTAAGTATATAGGCTGTTTTGTATTGAGTAACTAATTTTGGTATTTAATTTTATTACAAAACAGGTTACAAGGGGCAGATCCAGGATTATTTGGAGGGGGGTCTGCGGATGCGAAGCCGCGCCTCTGAAGGGCCCCGAAAAATTCGTGTATTTTAGTGGAAGAACAGTGCCATTTGGTATGGTTTAGAACTATGATTCGGCAAGTCATACTTCTAATTTCAGGAGGGGATCATTGGTGTGTTTTTTTTCAGAAATCAAACCTGAATCTGCCCCCCCCCCCAAATCCGCCACTGATAATGTATCGTTGTGTATTCTCAACAACAATTATGATTTATTCTATTCTAGGACTACTTCGGAGAGTGCATCATAGACACTAATGCCTGCCGAGCTTTTGTTTTCAATGTGGCTCATGGAATGGATTTGGCAACAAATAATAATGATTGGACCATCCACAGTGACCTCAAGGTCATGCCAAGGTGAGAAGGGCAAAGTGAGGCTGAGAAACGGGCTACGATTCAGAGCAGTAACTCGTCCTACTACACGCATTCCAGATATAAAACTAGAAAAACTTTGGAAAATTGTTAAAGCATCTCAACGTGAAAAATGTGTAGAATTTTATTCCATCTACAGGTATATCAGTCGCTTGAAAAGTATTATTTCTTGGAAATGGCTAAAGGAGACTGAAATTGTTAAGGTCTATTTTTATTCCCTGAACTGAACGATATAATAATAAAGAATGGTGACTTTATAATCGTTTCAGAACAGACTTCTTGCACTGGGGCTGGCAGATAAAGTTTGCAGCGGCCAAAAATGTCGGACATGTTTCCGATGTAATGCTTCACGCCTGCGGTGGTTCTGGATACAAGACAGAATTGGGTGAGTTTCAGTTCGAAATGAAACTCTGCCAGATTCATGTGTATTGCCTAGGCACAGTGTATCATTTCATAAGGTGGGCAGCGTATAGATGAATCCATCAAAACGTTGTTGACAAGAATGCAGTCTTTTCGGGTTGTTAGGGATGATATTATGATACTCCTGTTTGATTTAAAAGACCGGCTGAATAATACGTAATACGAACAAACTAACAACACTTGAACCAACAACCCATTTTTAGTAACACACAAAATTAATATCATATAAATTTAACAATATTGCAGGCATTGAGCGTCTTCTCCGAGACGCCAAGGCCGGCTGGGTGATGGGTCCAAGCAATGAGGTCACACGGCAGTGGGTAGGAACCACGGCTCTCATGGGAATGGAGCAGCTGGATTACTGGTAGGTTGAGTTGCGGAGAGCTGGAAAATTCCTCAAATAAAAGNCTTAGGTGAGAGTCGTCTAATTTCATAAATTGAAACCCAGAGTATCTGTGGGATTAATTAAGGGATAAGGTTATTTTCAATGTGATAAGGTTATTTTCGATGATGGGTATAAACTTTGATAGAATTGAGTAATACACAGACTGTACCAGAAATAAGTGTTATTAGTAAAGTTATCGGGCAGTTAGGTATCTTGATAAAGAAAGAAAATATATCGAATGCGTCGATGATTCGAAATATATATGAACATGTATTTTTCTTTGTATTTTCCAGAAGGAAAAGTCGAGAAGTGAAGGGAACTTCAAAACAAGATGTGAAGAGCGTCCATGGGATTATATTTTAATGTTTTAATAAATGTATGGGTGTACTATAAAGGACACGTAAGACCTACAAATTTTGAGGAAATTTATTTTACTTGGCCTAGCAAGTGCGGGTCAGAACGATAATTGTAGGTCCGGCAGTGCTGGATATTGATTTTTTTAATGTTTTATTTTTATTAAAGCCTTTAATTTTTTCCTTTAGGTGAGACGAGCCTCACTCCGGAGAACCACAGCCCCGAGTTGATTAAAAAAAAAATGATGAAATATGTGGGGAATCCTATTTTGTAATGTTGTGTTATATTAATGATTCTATTTTTTTTCCTTTAGATGAGAAGCCTGGCTATCTATAGATGCTTATGTAAGGGTTAGATTAACCACAATTTATGTTTAATAGATATCAGTTTTTTGTCGGGATCTGTTTTATGGTTTCGGATTGGGTGTCGGCAATTCCTTATTGCAATCTTTTGCATGGGTTTTGGTGGCAAGGGTCTCTTTCAGCGTCAAGGTCTGCGACACTGCGACCCTGGATTAGCGTCAGGCTCTACGTTACGTGCCGACACTGGAAAAAAAAAATACTTCCACATCCACACCCCAACGACCCTGAAACGGACCGGGAAATGAACGTTTGGAATCGGTGAAAAGTCTGAATAGAGAGAAGAGTCGAGTAGTTCGGCGACTAATCCGGCTACTCTGCCAGGTTTGGCTGGTAGAGGTTGGGTGAACTGGACACCCGAACAGAATGAAAAACAAAATCTGTTGAAGATCTACAGATCATTCCAGAGTTTTGTATAAAGATATGTTATAACTGAACTATCGAATAATGATGTGTTTAAAGCAGAATTTAATGATTTGTCTAAACAGAGTATTGTATAAATGACGTGTTATTTGAAAAAATGCTTAAAAACAATTATTGCTTTGGCTATTATTGTAATTGGATATAAATATATATATACAGGTATATATTTGATAAAATATCTCTTAAAGATAGAATCTCCTATGTTAATTATAGAAGTATGAAATTAGATAAAATTAGGAGTTAATATCATAATAATCATCATTGTTGTTGTAGTAACGGTATGTGATAGGAATATGATAAAATTTTAACTCTGAAAAAAAAAATGTATTTTTTGTTCAAAGGATACATTTATACATACGGATCAAGCATCCAAAATTAAAATTTGGCATAACTGTATAGATGGCTTAATTGAGTTTAATGAAAAGGATTTTTATATTCCGGGAACTTTTATTGTTCACGTTGATATAATTTTAAAAATAATGTACCATTATTTTTTATAAAGAGGGGAAGGCGTGTGGAATCCTGCACTAACTCCACATTGTGTATTCAGAGTTAATCAACGTATTATTATATAATTTGCATCTGTCCTGCATACATAAATATTATTTTCGGTAGAGGCCCATAGGTAGGCCTATTCCTTAGGCAGATGCATATCACCTGTTAATATTGCACAACAATTAGTATGTAAATAAGTAGCAGCCACATGTACACGCATGTAAATAAGTAGCAGCCACATGTACACATAGATTCCCTGTAGATAATCTGTATATAACTTGAAGCTTGTCCATAATAAAGACACTTTTGATCTGAGACTGAAGATGTGAGGTTGTTCTGTTATGCTTCTCTGTGCACGTAAAGTGAAAGACTGAGTCGAATCTGGAGTCATGTCGGAGCCCATAGATTAGTTAATTCGTTAATGGAAATTGATACACTGGAATTCAGTACAGTTATAAATTAAAGTTAAAGTCATTTTAGACGGTTCACAACATAGTCCTGTCCCTCCTAGTACAGTGTAGTAGTCTGGAGTCATTGTGTTCCATTGTGGCAGTATAGTCCTCTGCCTCCTAGTACAGTGTAGTAGTCTGGAGTCATTGTGTTCCATTGTGGCAGTATAGTCCTGTGTCTCCTAGTACAGTGTAGTACAGTGTAGTGTGGATTCAGATGATGGACTGGAAAAGACAAAAAAAAAAAAAGGTCAGTGATCTGAGGCTTTTTCTTTAAGATCCAGAATATTAGAGTAATTTAGTAAGTTTTCTACATGTGTACATCATATTAACTGTGAAGAAATACATATGAAAAACTTACAAAATAAAGTATTGTTGTAAGTCAAGGCTGAAGACGAACAAGGTCTACTTATAGATTAGATACATCAGTTCTCCAGTTAATTATCTTACCTTCATAAGCCAATGCAAAACTACAGATGAAAAGAGAATGGCAAAACTTGAAGTAGATGACGGTGTGCAATCTTGCCAGTTCTCCAAAAGCACTTTTTATCTGCACGTCAACATTCTGTAGCACATATTTTAAAAGCTTCACAAGCACATTGCATCGTGATGTGAACAGTGAACAACTGACACAGTCGATACCATATGTGTCCTTCACTTCAGATGTCTCATCCTGAACTTACGGATTAAGTTTGCCGAAAGAATCTTTAACAGAACCATCTTAGAAAAGTGTCCTGGTGGAAGATGCCACTAAGTGTACAGAACATTTGATGAAAATTTGGCTTTCGGCATCACCCTTTGCCTGACACGCCACATTTATAAACATTGTTTATTGTAGATGGCGCTATGCAAGAGTCCGAAGGTTCAATATTCCGAAGGTTCATTGGTCCGAATGTTCACTATAGAACCTTCGGACCAATGAACCCTTGATTAAAAAATCGACGAAAATGTTACCACTTTTCGGACCAATGAACCTTCGGACCAATGAACCTTCGGACTATCGAGACGCCCCCGAGGTGAGACTTTGGATTTGTAATGGATGTACAATATAGTTGCCAGTATTAGCAACAGGTTCACCGCCTGCTGTCTAGGAAACTCGTGGAAGGAAGGAGAGGGTTCTGGCACTACAACAGAAATTACCAGGGTCCAGGCATTGTGTTATATATTGTGTATTTAGCAAAAATAGACTCAAAGTCATGAGCTTCAACGAAGCGTCAATCTGATTGGTTGAAAGTTATGTAAACAATACAGGAGCCGTCCAATGAAATTTCTTTATACAATAATTATTCTTATTAAATTTCATTGTTTTGTAAACAAAGCAAATAGACAATGTCTACACAGTCACTGGTAAGTTTTTTTTTTTTTTTATTCCAAACTGAAACCCTGTATCAAGTATAAAGTAAGCTCACATAGCGCCTTTTTACAGTGTTGTTCATGATTTTTAAATGATTATTAACATTCTTAATGAAATTCTTGAAAATTTCTTGTCACACAACGTTTTGATGATCATTCTTGTAATGGTGCAAATGTTTTTTTAACAAAAACTATCAAATAAAGATACAGAAATTCCTGATTTGCATCTTGTTTAACTAAGATTTTATTTATTAATATATTTTAATGTATTAATAAATGCATTTTAATATTTTAATATGTTTTAAAATTGCAGATGACAGCTGATATGTAGATTGAAATAAACAAAAAAGAACAGTGATCGTAAGTTGTGTGTGTGTGTGTGTGTGTGTGTGTGTGTGTGTGTGTGTGTGTGACTTTATTTGTTTTGATAAATGGGCTGGCAATCCATAACAATGGTCCTAAAACAACTTTTTAATTTCTTTGTAATATGAAAGTAAGATATCCCATTCTTTATTTACTTTAAATAAGTGGTCAATTTGAATGTTTGTAGTGAAAATATCAAAATGATATATTGATAGGATTTCTTTCTATTTTACTTTTATTTTGAACAGCCAAGGCCAATGTCAAAATAATTCTGACAAAAAATCTGTTGAAAGCAAAAGTGGTGGGCAGGGGAACTGCCCTTGGAGGCTGGGACACCCAGCGTGGCATTAACATGTCAAGGACCACCAAAATGGGTGTTCCGTCTCTAAGGGCAGAGTTTCTCCTGCCAAAGGGCTCAAAAATGGAATGGAAATTCATAAAGCCACAAAATGTAAGTATTATATCTTTTTACAAAGGTAATGATATAAGGTAAAAATGATTTTCTTTGAAATTAAAAAAGAAAATTTAAAGTCTGACATGTTGAAGTATTTTTTATACCTTCATTCATTTTTCTAGTGTATTTGATTTATCAGTTATTGTATATATTTATAAACATTTTATTTTTCATTTTAGACATTTACATATTATCAAGTTATTTAAGTATTCATTCATCATTCATTCAGCCTTACCACCCTGGGTCTGGCTGGACATGGGAGCCTGAACCCTTTAGGAACAGGTGCCTCCAGGTGACCACTAAGGACAGCATGGAAGTGACCTGTACTTGGGGAGAACTGGACATGGAAATAAAAGGTGCTTGATCTTTTAATTTTATTTGATATAACCAATGGAAATAAAAGGTGAAATAAACTTTTAATTTTGTCATGTATAATGTATGGTAAAAACAGATTACTTGATCTTATAATCCTATGAAATATAACCTGTGAACAGAAATGATGAAATGATCCTTTAATTCTGTCAAATACATATTTTAATCTATATCATAACTTGTGAATGACAAATAAATGTGACATCTTATTCCAGAGTTGAACTACATGTACGAGCCTGAAGTCCACACCAGTGGTAAGTGAATTGCATTATATAATTGTATTGCTCTATTCAAGACAATAATTCAGCAGATATAGCAATTAACTTGGTGCATTTTTTAATCCACTAGCAAGGAATCATGAAATAAAATTATTTATGGCTACAACACTCTGACTCTCAGGGTGCAAGTCTGAATTTAAAGACCTAGCTAATATGCACTAACTCCATGGAAACTCTCGCTGAATACAATCAGATTAACAGACTAACACCCCCCTTTTGTCTCCAACATACAGAATCACCAGGTTTACTGTATTTTACTCAATGCCATGATGTATTTGATGTGTTAAGTTTAGACAAAACAAATACATGTATTGTGTGTCCTTAGATTTGAGTTCAGTTCTCATGTTTCAGCTGATACCAACAGAATAACAATTGTAAAGAGTCCTAACACTAAAGAGATAGATAAGACTGGCATCTCAGTAAAACAATTATGACTTTAATACACACATGAAACAGGCACACACACACACACACACACACACACACATTAGCACACTCCCACACGAACATACACACACACAGTAATTCTGGCCTTTGATAGTCTAAGGCTTCGTTCACATGGAATGTCTATTTTCTAAAAATCTATTTTCTATTCGCGGTATCTTATGATCACTGTCTGTGCCCTGAATATCCCGCCGCGTAATTACTGGCAGCGCGAGCCAGTTATTTATAGTAACTTATAGTAACTGGCTCGTGCTGCCAGTAATTATGCTGCGGGATATTCAGGGCACAGACCGTGATCATAAGACATACCGCGAATAGAAAATAGAATTTAGAAAATAGACATTGCATGTGAATGAAGCCTTAAGAAGATACTTTATCTTCGCTTGGTATTTCTTAAAATTCAGTTCTGTTCTTTCAGGTGATACCAAAGAAGAGAACAATGTAGCAATTGTTAAGACCCTAAGTATTGAGAAGATAGGTAAGGCTGGAATCTCAGTAAAATAATTGTGAATTTTAATATACTTCTGACACCTGCATGCGCACACACACACACACACATTTATACACACCACAATCATGTTGCTCAAACAAAGTCTGGTCTTTAGCATACTTAAGAAGATCATTTTAAAAGTCAATTAAATCTTTGAATGTTCTTAACAAATTGTAATGCTGAATCCTATTTAAACATGCACAGATATAGAATGTTAAAATTTTATTTGATATCATTTTTTCTTCAGCTGATATCAAAGACACAGAGAGTGTGTCAGATGCTGAGGGCATCAAAGAAAAAGGTAAGACAGTAAGGACAATTTAACAGGAATTCATATAAGACACTTAAAAAATTGTAAACACACCACAGATTGACTTAAGGGTGGAGACTCCACGCACAAACACTGAGTTAAAATTCACTGTTCAGTTATCTAAATCTTTCAATGTATCTTTGACTATGTTCAGTAATGTATTGAATCTTTGTTGTGCACATGTATGGGATGTTTAATTTGTTTTCTTGTCTTTCATCAGTCAGTATCAATGACACAACAACCCTGACAGAGGACATGAAAGAGAGAGGTAAGATAGCAGGATCAATAGAATAGGGATTTATTTATTACACTGACGGAATGTGATTGGGCATGCATGCACACACACACACACACACACTTACACTGCCTATTGATGTGTAAACACATTATGGGCTTTACTTGTCCAATTTGTTTATTTTAAATAATTGTAAAAGATTTTCAGTACAGTTGCATGCATGAAATAATGTGGTGCACTGACTACATATTGAAGGTTATATATTATTGCATATAACTAAGTTAATATTGTGTCATATATTTCAGCTCCCAAGGACAGTCGTCCATCTAGGTGGAAATTTTTAGGTCTTTTCACGTCTTGCTTCAGACGAAGATCAAGAACACAAATGGTTATTATTATTATTGTTGTTGTTATTTTTGTTGTTGTTATTGAATAAATCTAATCACTTCTGATATTTAGAAATTTGACAGCATTTTAAAAAAGAACAGAATCATTATACAGTCACAAGGAAGTTCTTTTTGTTTGTTTCCTTGTTTTGATGGCATCATAAGTAAGTGAACTTTCAGTTTTTAAGAGGTATACTATGTCAAACAGCTGGTAAAAGCTGTACAGTAATTATATGATAGCAGCTGGGAGCTACTGGTTGCAGAGTTACTGTCAACATCTTTTTACAGCTAATACATTTTAACTGAATTATGTTTTAATATTTTCATCTTCTTATTTTTCAAGGTCATCATTGCAGAACTACTATTGCCTCTGAAGCAGCCAGTTAAAAACTTCAAATGACCTTTTCTTAATTTTACAATAAAATATAAATTTTGTGTAATCAAATGTGTTTTGTTTTTCTTTCTTTTTTTAAATGAGACAATGATTCAACATCTTAAACATGACAAAAACAATTTCTTTTAAAACATCATTTAATTGCTCGTGAGCAAACTGAAGAGAAATTTAATCACTTGGTTGTCTTAGTTAGTCGGTCAAAGTTTAAACAGACAATACTGCCCCACACATTTTGATATTTAATTTTGATAAAAGGCTGTAAACAAAAATAAGTTTTACGTACTATATCAGTCTCTTGCAATGACTCGTGAATCATCCAATGGGACTACTATAAAGTTGTGGGGAAAAATGAAATAATCTTATTGCCAAAAATTAATGTTGCTTTCTATAACATATGAATCTTCCAATGGGGCTATCATAAAAGTTGTGGAAAAAAGAATGAAAAAATATTAATACTAAATGTCAGTGTTTTCTTATATAAAACTGTCTTGACACCAGAAAATTATGAAACTAAAAGTGACACTCTAAATAGTTTCTCTGATCCCAATTACTGCTGAGTTTTAAGTAACTTTGAGAATAAAAACGTGTCTTAGTTCTACTGGTCAAGATTTGCATTTGATGAAATGCACCAGATTTGTCCTTGCTGTCATCCTGAGAGGAAGGTGGTCTCCTATAGGCTTCTCTTCTGTTAATTAATCTGGAAAAATGTCACAGTATGTCTTCAGACGATATCTATTGCTTAAATTGATCAAAATGTCTTTAAATAAAGATATTGTTACACTGTAAAAGAATATATTAAATACCCAACTGCAGGAATCATTTTAGTAAGAAAAAATGACACTTATTCGTATTGTCCACTATGCAGATAATGCAACTGCTAATGAATTGCTAATGATTAAATAAATTAATTTATACCACAAGAAGCAGTTTTACCTTAGCTGTCAGCTGTGGTACCATATGGTCTGGAGTTTGATTGCTACCCTGATCTCCATGACAACAGGTCCAGATGATCGTCTGCAAACACATCAGAGCCTCAGCAACCATCCACAATTCCTGGTCCTTGGTCACTACTTCCACAAGAAATGTACCAAAATTCTGAAGGAAAAAACAACTCGACATCAAAACTGGCAAATATACAGATACCAAACAGCAACCAAAATTTCAACAAGATTAGCAAAAATAGTTTTAAAAGTTCTAAAAGCAATCAAAGTGTTCACCTTAACTTGGACATAAAAAGGAATCTTATTATGTCCAAGATCTTAACAACAGGCTAAAGAAGTAAATGTTTTTTACTCTTCACAAGGTCTGTTGGTTTTATGGTCACCTTGTGGGGAACCCCCTTAAGACCATGCCGGGGCCCCACATTACATAAAATAAAGTTATGTTGTAACTTCACCAGAATATATTTTACTACACTAACAGTTACATGGTACAAGCCTCTCTCTCCTTCTCTCTCTACATATCTCCTCTACATATTGCTCTCTTTCTACATCTTAGGCTGTATTCCCAGAGCTTTTAGATCGATCTATCCCTGCGGGAAGTCTCTCTAGATTACTGTCAGATAATCCGGCTTAAATGTCCATCCCGCCTACTGTTTACAAGCTGTAAGGGGGTAATTAACTTTCGTGTTCGCTCGACTGACAGCTATTTAGCATGAACCCCCAGGGAGTTAGGTCGATCTAAAGTAGATCGATCTAATCTCTGGAAATGGGGTCTTACTCTCTCCCTCTACATATTGCTTTTCTATCTCTCCCCCCTAGATTTAAGTTCACAGATTTTTATACTAAGCTTTATCAGTTAAACTGTCCATCACATAGCTTAGAAACTGATTGGTTACTTCATACACAAGTCCACCCTCTTCCTGGTGGGCACTCCTAATAACACCCTGTAATCAAATTCTAACAGTTTACTGGCTTCGGTACAAAGGACATAAAAATTTGAACTGCAAGGTGTGAAGCATTATCTGAACAACTTGTACAACTTGGCTTCCCATGTCTGAATTTTATCAAACCATGGCTTCCTCTGATTGAGTTATGTATGAACATCATGTATGAAAGTCTTAAAAGTACTAATTACACTTTTTTCTATACTATGGTTCCTGACAACCTGTACACACTTTCATGTGAGAAAGCTTTCAATATTTTAAATTGTTATCAACTGGACACAACAGTTCATTTAACACTGGTACTATTTGCTAAGAGTAAACCATGAAATAAATTCTTTGAAAACACAGACTTTCATGTCTATAAAAGAAGTAAAATATTTTTTACTGATCCAAATATTTTTGTTTGGTTTGGTTTTCTGACCAGCCATCAATACTACTGTGTCTACCCTCTTTCATTTTTTAATCTATTTGATGAACATAACCACAAATGAACACTGGCAGTATTTCCTATGAGTAAAGCTAAATTACAAAAAACTCAAATTGGTCATATGATATCAATTAATGTAATGAAAGAAAGAGTACCTCAACTTTTAGACAGCAAATTCAATGACTACATCATTAAGAAAACTAAATAACATGACATACATGTACATATCTGGGTTACCTTGAAGGTGTGTTTCCATCTCTGTCTTAATGGTGTGGTGGCTCACTGATATTACAGCTATTTTCAACTAGTGTTTCCCTGGTCTATTGGAACACTACTCTGAAAGACAAAACTTAACATGATCATAAGCTGAGAGAGATAACTTATGTTTGAAACAGAAAAGCTGGAAAAAATCCAGTCACAAAAGGTAAAAAAAATTGCACATGCACACATTAAAAAAGTCCATTCTAGCTCTTTTTTGAAAGTAACATGCCTTGATGGAGTTAATGAATAAATTTTTAATACCTATAACTGAACCAAATTTTTATATAAAGTTCTTAACCTGAACAGGCCCAGTAGCCGGGGGGGGGTGCGTGGGCTCCCTTTTTTTTGGGGAAAATGTTTCCTCTGAGCAAAATTTATCTAAGTACACGAAGATTGCATATTAAAAGATAAATTTTTCAGAAAAAGAACCCACTTTTGAAACTGCTGGCTGCTGAAGAGTTTCATAAATTGAATTAATTGAACAGGCCCGTAGCCAGGGGGGGTTCAGGGGGTTCGAAAGAACCGCCCCTTTTGCTGGAAAAAGGTCCACTCTGGGTAAAATTTGATCTAGGTACATGGAGTTTTTATGGGAAAAGGTCCACTTTTTCAGAAAAAGAACCCCCCTTTTGAAATTGCTGGCTACGGGCCTGATTGAATGACTTATCACATCATGTACAGAACCAGCCTGACATGTGTGACAAATACAAACTAACTGATAAAATCACATCTTGTCTTTTAACTAGCTAGATGTTTGCTTGATGGTGTCATGGTACATGTTTACCAATGCTTAGTGAAGTAATAACAGATAATTATATGCAGTGGGTTGTGCAGATAACATCTTTAAATTATGGCATCTGAAGTATTGAAGAGAAATGACTTCAACCAATCAGATATGTCCACTGTAACCAGCAGTTAACATCATCCAATAGAATGACTGGATTCAAGATTTTAAACAGGGGGTTCCTAATACAACTTTATGCATTTCTCTGTACAAAAACTGGGTGCATTGGTAATGTTAACAACAAGTTCATACAGAATCCAAATGGATATTCTTATGGTGCTCTGAGAGTTGAATTGTGAACACAATTTCAGTATTGGAAAGGACAGATCAAGCCTTGTCTTACACCTTATACAAGTGACTTACCAGGTAGATTCTGTGACAAGACTTTTACACCACCAATTAAGTTCTTACTGCACTCAGTAAAAATGTGCAAAGGAGAGAGACCTCACAAGTGTAAATTCTGTGACAAGACTTTTACTCAAAAAGGCAATTGCACTGTGCATGAAAGAATTCATACCGGAGACAAACCTTACAAGTGCAGATTCTGTGACAAAACTTTTATAGCCAAAACACATTGCACAAGGCATGAAAGAATTCACACAGGAGAGAAACCTTACAAATGCAGATTCTGTGACAAAACTTTTAAAGACAAAACTTCCTGCATAAAGCATGAAAGAATTCACACAGGAGAAGAACCTTACAAGTGTAGATTATGTGACAAAACTTTTAAAGACAAAACTTCCTGCATAAAGCATGAAAGAATTCACTCCGGAGAGAGACCTTACAAATGTAGATTCTGTGACAAATATTTTACTCAAAAAGGCAATTGCACTGTGCATGAAAGAATTCATACTGGAGACAAACCTTACAAGTGTAGATTCTGTGACAAAACATTTACAAGCAAAACAAAATGCATGTATCATGAGAGAATTCACACAGGAGAGAAACCCTACAAGTGCAGATTCTGTGACAAAACATTTACAGACAAAAAATCTTGCATACATCATGAGAGAATTCACACAGGAGAGAGACCTTACAAGTGTGGATTCTGTGACAAAACTTTTATTCAAAAAGGCAATTGCACTTTGCATGAAAGAATTCATACTGGAGAGAAACCTTACATGTGTAGATTCTGTGACAAAACATTTACAAGCAAAACAAATTGCATACATCATGAGAGAATTCACACAGGAGAGAGACCTTACAAGTGTGGATTCTGTGACAAAACTTTTACACAAAAAAAATCTTGTAAACTTCATGAAAAAAATCAAACTGGAGACAAAAATATCTGTAATTTTTTTTAGGAAATGTTCACTCCAAAAGGGAATTGCACTTACCATGAAATAATTTACACTGGAGGCAAAACTTTTAAACAAGTTTTTTTGCACTGCCCATGAAACCATTCATACTGGAGAAAAGCATGATACATGTGAGTTCTGTGGGAAAAAGAGATTATAACAAAACTGGCCTGCACTAGCCCTAAAAGAATGCACACTTGTGAGAAACCAGACAGACATGGAAAATAAACTGTCCATCAATAATGACATAACCCATCATACATATGAAGATGAAAGAACAGAATACTATCATAAAGGTGATGACACTTTTACCACGGAGCATATCACCATCATTACTGACAATGATGTCTATGAAATACTTACTGGCATAAAAAGGACCACACCAGGTGTCATCACTACAATCATAAAAAATCCTTTCTATAACTCTCAATGATAGATACAGAAACAGAACACAAACTACTACCTTAAAACATTGCTATTTTTGGATAACTAAAAAACAATCATATTTTTGTAATTGATACAATTTTTATTTGTTCAGTGTTAATCAATAATTATAACTTTTATATTGTGTAGGTTCAGTATTCCTCACACCATTTGATTCCATGATCAGATACATTGTCTTGATAGATCATCTATAAAAAAAGAATTGTACTTAATCAAATACATGATATTACGCTGGAAAATCACTCATCTATCTTTACAGTTGAAAAACGAAAGGGAAAGAGGTAAGGGTTTCAATTTCAAAGAATTCAAGTGTTTACTAGTTAAAACCCAATTTAAACCATTTCATTTTTTAATGTATCAAATGTATATATATCCAATGACTAAGTGACAGAATAAACAGTTAAAAAAGAAACATCGTTTTGTTCACTTAAGACAATATCAAACTCCAAATGAATATTTGATTAAACCACGACACATATTACAGACTTTAAAGGGACCATTCCCACAGATAGTTGGATCTCCACGACGAGTCTCACTAAATTGCTATTGGGGAGGTCAAAAAATAGAAAGAAAGAAAAATGAAAAATGAAAAAAAAAAAGAAAATCACCTGTAAGTGTAATACTATATGACTTGCCAAAAAGATTTCAATGTTTTATTGCTGTTCTCTGTCAGCACCATTTCAATATTTTAAGTTATCAACTGAACACAACAGTCCACCTAACACTGGCAACATTCTGTATCAGTTAACCATAAGGAATACTGAGCTGTAGTCAACAAATGAATTTCTAGCATAATAATAATAATAAATACACATACCATTTTACTTTAACAATAACCATAAGGAATACTGAGCTGTAATAAATCCACTTACAATTTTATCTTAACACATCGAAATGTCAAAACATGGAAAATTTAGTTAAAAAAAGAGGCTAACCCATTCCTGTCTTCTTACTGATTTTTATCTGTTATCTGCACAAATCTCAAAAACTTGCTTTTCTAGCTACAGAAACCTGTTGACAGAAAATTTATGTCTGATCACGGGTAATTATTGATACCATATATAAACTTAGTATTAATACAAAATCTATGAAAAAATGCAAATATAACCCATTGACAGTGGCTCCTGTATTGTGGTCAACTGATGACCCCAACACTAATGGTCACTTTACCTGAGTGTCCATAGTGCTGTCTTCCTGACTTGTTAACGACCGACCACTAACAGGTGAAGGCCTTGGGTTGCCGGACCAGGGTGGAAAAAGTGCTGCGATCACTCTCTCTTCATGTAGAACTTGGACATAAATATTATAAATATTGATTGTGAAAGAGTTGACCCCCCCCCCCTTTCCCCCTCTTACGCCTAATTAAAGTTTGAAAATGCATAATAATAAAAGTGACTGATTCTTAAATAAATTGACTGGTTAGTGCTGAGGGAACGCATTCGGCCCCTGGTTGTGAAAGGGTTAAATGCCCCCCCCCCCCTCCTCCCGTCCCGCCCTATTCCGGCTGCTTACCCTGAACTTCAGAGATAACTTGAATCAAACCTCTACACTATGGCATACCCTTGTCGTTTCCAGTTACTTGAAACGGCAAAGGTTAATTGCTATTAAGATCTGAAGTTCAGGGTGCGGCTTCTACACCTGTGTATCAAAACTATCGTTGGCAGGTTCATCTTCTGCCGGGAGTTGAACAGTTAACGTGGTCAACAAATTTTTAGGGAGACACTGATGGCATGGAGATGTATCATATTGTCTGAATGTGCTACACGGTGGAACTGGAAAAGTGGGATATTTTTACAACTTGTCTAAATGTTTGTAAAAGTCTCTGATTTTAGCAGCTCCACGCTTTATTTATATTTTGCTGTTGAACTGATACTTCTCTCACCCGTCCGGCTCTCCCTAAAATGTTCCACTCCGGAAAAAATCAATAACGCTATGGGAGAATTGTACAGGCAATTGACCTACATTCTCCACTGCAGTTATTGGCGCTAGTTTAACAATGTTATGACTTGGACGTGATAACGTGATTCACGCCTGTGATATGAAGGTTTATAATTTATATAAATAAATTAATAAACAGGGCATGTCGATCAAATGATTGGAAAGCTGTGAGGGTAAAGGGACATTGTTATTTACAAAAGTATTAAAAACTGTACATGACTCAAAACCAGAAAAAAAGCATTTTTTTCTCTTATATGCAAATTAGATTGCCTGTAGTAATATAAGGTTGTCCGGAAGTGATGTCCACACCAAAGATTTCAAATAGCGGCGATCTTGATCACCTAAGTTATCTTAATTTTTATTATTTCATGTTTGAAGCTAGCAAATGTAATTTCCCAAAAGAAATGAAACAATTTTCTTTTCATTATAAATCATTGCTCTACCCGTCCTTCGGAAGATTTTTGTAACAGTTAGAAGGCTGAGAAGGGCTTCTTGACGAGAGCCCCGGTGTACGCCCCCTCCCTCCCCTCGAGAGGTACTGTAAAGATCACTTTTATTAATATGTTACAGCGAATAGGAAAAGTTTATTTTAATAGATATAAATAACTCATTTTTAAATGCTTTTTTTTTAAATTTCATTTTGTCTGTGGTTCTGCAGATTTTGAGAGAGAGAATGAGAATTAGATAACAAGATTAAGCGAATTATAAAGACATTGAGAAATTTAAAAATATCAAATTCTCGGGAAGATTGCATTTTTTTATTTTCCACACAATCCTAATGCAATAATCTACCAGTTGAGTTTATTTTGTTTTGTTTTTGTTTTTTTCAACTGAAAACGTACTCATTTTTCCCGTTTCTAAAAAAAAAGTGTCAGTAAATCTTTATTTTTTTTACTATAGAGAAAGATTTAACAGTTACCTGTCCAGTCTCGTGAATATTAAGGGAAGCCATTGAATAAGTGGTGAAATCATGTAGATTATATTTGGCGTTATAACGTTAAGATTTGGTGTAGGACGCAAAAAAGAAAAAAACGCTTTGGTAGTTCACCTTGCATGTAATACTACATCTTAGATATTTTATGAACAACTTAATTCTACATTTGTGTAGGAGGGTATTGTACTCTGATACGTAGATGAGACCAAGAGAAGTGCATTGAAATTTCTTTATCGGCATTTTTAGAAAAATAAAATGTTAAAATTAGTTTGTTTTGGTCTACAATTAAAAGCTGTCAATGGCTTGTCACACCTAACAAATTTAAGTTGCA